GTCGGTGGTTCAAATTCACCAGCAGCTTTTCAGACACCATATACAGGTCTCTGTGAGTCGGCAATGACTCAGCAGCACGTAACATACATTTATTGAGTCATTTGAAGTAAATATGGTGTTGTTACGTTCCTGTGGAGTCGATTCCGACTCATAGCGACCCTGTACAGGGTTTCCGAGGTTGTAAATCTTTATGGGAGCAGAACTGCTGGCCTTGTGGATCACAGCCCAATTCATAACCACTATGCTACCAGAGTTCCTTAAAGTAAATATGTAAGGGATATGTTGTTAATTTGAAGGAATGTGTAATTCAGACTAAAAATAAAGACATTAGTTCCTTTGGATTATCAAAAGCAAATAATGGGAGCAATTTGGGGATTTGTGTAGATGAAGCAGGATTGGGCCTACGTTGATACTTGGTGGTGGTGGTGAGTGCTATCAAGTTCATTCCAACTCCTAATAACCTTGTATAGGGTTTTTGAGATGCTGCTGATGGGTTTGAACCTTCCATTTTATGGTTAGCAATCCAGTGCTCATTCTACTGCGCCACACCAGGACTGGATGATGGCTAAATAGAGATTCATTATTATATTCCTTTTACATTTGTGTTTGTCTGAAATGTTCCATAATTTTAAAAAATTGTTTTAAAGGTTTTACATTCTCAAAAGAAGTATTTACATTCCACTCTTAGATACAGAAAAACACTTACCATGTATAGCCTATCAATGCACAAGAGACCTAAAGAGTAAAGTATTTAAACCAGGATTTTGAACTGGTTGATTCCCCTAGTGAGAATTTGCCTGCCCATCCCAGGTATACGGAATCTGAATCTGCACTTCAACAAGATCCCCAAGTGATTCTTATAGATCCTTATTTGTACATTCCTAGGGATCTTCCTAAAATGTAGATTCTGATTCAGTTTCTCTGGGATGAAAAGACAAGTTCAAAGCCCAGGGTCCCTGCCCCTCCCCCTCTCAAGAGAGAAGCCTTCTGATTCTGTGGCAGTTGACAGGGAGGAGAAGGCAGTTTTTCGTTGACAAGAGGCATAAGGAAAAAATGCAGGGTGAGATTTCTGTCTGTGTAAGAAAGAGCAAATTCACAGTAAACAAAAGCTAAAGAAAGGACTCTAAACAGGATATGGCATTTGGGAAGAAGTTTTAGAAGAAAGAAAAACAAAAATTATATACTAGTGAGCCAAGGGGAAAATAAGACATCAAGAATTATTTTGCTTTCTCTGTATTTTTCTTCTTTCTATTAGCATTGGTGGTGGAGCCCTGGTATGGTGTTGTAGGGTAAGCATTGGATCACAAGTTTGGGTTGAACCACAAGGTCAGTGGTTCAACCTCACCAGCCACTCCTCAGAAACTCTGTACAGGGTCGCTATGAGTCTGCCCTGACTAGATGGCACTTAGCAACAACCATTAATGGTATCCATGTAGATGGAAAGCATGACTAAGCAAGGCTGGGTAGGGTGGGACTTTGATCGGCTTAAAGGATTAACTACCTGAGGGACATCATCTATAGAGATAGAAAGTGAAGATAAACCAGAAGAGGCAGAAATTATGTTTAGAATTTTTCTAGACATCGGTTTCAAAATAATGTCTAAAGGTGATAATAAAATAAATTGGGACTTTGTAGAGTCCCTTGTTGCCTCTGAAACTGTTGTCCATTTTAAATAGGTATACACTTGGACTTTATTACTTTTGTTTGCTTTCTCAGGTTTTCAACTCTTTCTCTATCCTGAGTATTGACTTATAAGTCTATCATCATTTTTGGCTATATAGTTTCTCTGTGTTTTTTTCTTACATTTGCCAATGGCATCCACAGATTTTTGCCAGTAATGTAATGATGTAAAATAGCAGCATTATGGGAACTCTTACGTTTATCTCTCTTGAGATAAGCGCATCAGAGTTTAGGAAGCAAAAAAGAAAAGAAACTGAAGAATTTATCTAGACGGTGATTCAAAAAACCTCAGTGTAAGCAAACAGCAAAGCTATTTTCCTAGCACACATAAAGTCTTGTGACATTTGTATAGAATTACAAATGAACCTTTTATGTGGAAGATCATGCTGCACATTTTGATTCCTATAGGGCAGACACAGTTGGTTCCCATTTTTTAGATACCCTAGGTAATTGCCTATTTTCCATATCGGTGATTGTGATGTTTTTCCCTATCAAAAAATCAAGAGGAGGTAAAGATTTAAAATAAACAAAAAGCCATCATATGCATTCAATAATGTTGTTGTTGTTAAGTGCTGTCGAGTCGGTTCCGACCCATAGCGACCCTGTATAGGGTTTCCGAGGGTGTAAATCTTTACAGGAGTAGAAAGCCTCATCTTTCTCCCGCGGAGCAGCTGGTAGTTTCGAACCGCTGACCTTAAGGTTCGCAGCCCAATTCGTAACCACTACGCTATATTCAATAATAGGATAGAGAAAAAAATAAAGAAGACTGTTTCAATGGCTAGGAGAGATTCTTTTGTCCTATCCTGAGTTTCAGATAGAAATTCCAACTAGATTCTGTTTTTCTATCAGGACACAGTACTAGCCAAATGTAGTTGTTCTGAGTCTCCAAACTTCTGACCATATATAGGATATAGGCACCGATAAGAAGTCCCTGACTGCTAACTGAAAGATTGGAGGTTTGAACCCACCCAGTGGTACCCTGGAAGAATGTCCTGATGATCTTCTTCCAAACATTCCGCCATTGAAAACTCTGAAGCACAGTTCTACTCAGAAACACACATGTGGTTGCCCTGCATTCAAGTCAACTCTGGGCCGCTGGTTAGGCACCATCAAAACAAATAACTTCATAATTCACGAAGAAAGTAGGATGTAATTAAGTTTAACAGAATCAGAAAGTTGTGTCATTTTATTGTTTTAGTATGGAGCTGTAGGATAAGCTCTGGACTTGTAACCACAAGGTTAGCCGATCAAAACCACCAGCTGCTCCTTGGAAATCATACGTAGGGTCGCTTATGAGTTGGAATTGATCCGACAACACAACAACAAAAGTCAGCAAGCATTGCGCATCCACCATACACAGCAGTGGCTCAGCCTATTTTGTGACCTTACCTTAGCGATTCTGAGTTAATAAAGTGGATTTCTATTAACTCCTCTCATAGGATGTATTTCTTCAGAGGAGTCCATGGTAAATAAAGCGTCAAAAACAGAGATTATGAATCAAACTGGAAATCAGTGCGAATTTGAAGCCCTGTTTGGGACTATAAAGTAGCATTAAAATGCAAGACAAATATGAACAAACCGTTTAGTTAAAACACCCTCCCGTGAGATCAGAGGTTTGCCATTGTGGAAGACTTAGTCATGTAGCACCTGGGCAGGCCATAAAGTTAATGTGTATTTTAAGGGATTATAAGAAGGAGGAATGGAAATGTTGTAGGAAGGAAAGTAAACAAAATTGCTTATTAAGGAAAATACTGCTGCAGTTGAAACTAAAATCAAGAAATGCGCTGATTAGCAACAGTGGATAAAAATTTAATTATTAAATAACTAGAAGACCAAGACAAAATGAACTAATTGTGAGGTTGGGTGTTCCTTTCCTTTTGAAATTTTCTAAAATTGACACCCAATCCTATGTAAGGCACTAACTATTAGGATTAATTTTGATGGATCACATTCGTTGCTGTTGTTAAGTGCTGTCAAGTCGGTTCCGTCTCATAGCAATCCTGTGTAGGTCTAGATGTTGATCACATTAGTGTAATAAAAAAAAATTGGCACAGTGCTGCACAATAAGCCATATAGATAATTATTTATTACATGTATGTGTATATTTGGGTTGCAATGTGTGTGTTTTTTGTTTTTTATACTTAACTCTCTAGGGCTTCATTTGATAGTCTGGGAACTCATTTCAAACAGTGTGAAGATCTGACTCAGGAAGTACTGGGAAACAGTCCAGTGTGTTTATCCTGACCCCTGTTCAACTTCTTCCTGCAGCCCACTGCATGCTGGGAGTAGACAACTCTCCTCTGAGACTGAGGCTAACCAGGCTATGCTGAACTTTCATCTCTCCATCATTCCTTGGAGCTGGGGTAGTTGTTAAGTGTTTGGGTTTCTGAGGACTCCTTAAAAGGCTACTGGAAAAGACTAACTAGATGGCCAATTACTCAAGTAACTATACAGAATAATGTCATTAAATTTAAAATGGCATTTAAAGGGAACTCAGCTAACCACCAATTAGTGGACAGTGGAAATTGAAAACTTATTAAAGGAGAATTTTGACTGCAATTATATTAGTTATGTTGTCTACAAAATAAGAAATCAATACATTCTGATTTTTGTTTTACTAATGAGAAAGTTTTTTGAAAATTTTGTATGCAAAAAACGTTTTGAGCGACTTTTAAATCCCAAATGCTGTTAGATGTATTTCTTGAATGTAGAAATTGAGGGTGGTTTTGTTTAATTGCTCGTTTCAGTTTTGTGTTCCATTACCCATTCTGTTTATGGTTGTGCTTTATGCAGTAGTTGCAGCTGAATTCTAGTAAATTAAATAATATGGAAATCACTTTAGGACCTTGCTATTTTAAACTAATTATGATGAGTCATTTTTTTAATATAATTGCCTCTGGATTTTTTTTTCCTAAAGTTTATAATCTGAATTATTATGTTTCAGGGTTTGGGGTGGGGGCATGTTTTCTTTTGTTTTGTGTTTTAAAGCCATGAATACCCACTGGGTCATATGCTATTTTAAATCTGTTCATGAGTTCTTTAAAAAAGAGGATTATGCCTTGTTTTTCCTCTTCATCTATAAGCTCAGTTTCAAATTTCCCTCTTATATCTTAATTTAACGTAAAATAATAACATGGCTGCCTTAGCGAGGACTAGGGAAAATCTTCACTAAGGATTGTTATGCCAGCGTGTGTTCTGATCACTTTGTTAATCTTTGACTACTGGGACACTTAGTACCGAGATGTCCTGAACATTCATGTTATATGATTAGTGCCTGCTGTGGTTTTGATGATGATTTCTGGTTTTCCTTTTTGCTGTAGTTGAATGGATTGCAGCAGTTACCATTGCTGCGGGGACTGCTGCAATTGGTTATCTCGCTTACAAAAGATTTTATGTCAAAGATCATCGCCACAAATCTATGGTAAACCTTCACATACAGAAAGACAACCCCAAGATAGTACACGCTTTCGACATGGAGGATTTGGGAGATAAAGCTGTGTACTGCCGTTGCTGGAGATCCAAAAAGGTGAGGAAAACTAATTTTTTACATCTGTGCCATTTTTAATGTAACACTTCTTTTTAAACTGTTCACACTTTTTTCAGATACCGTTCCCTTTTTTTAAATAAGATATAATCTTTTGTGTTCTGTTCAAGAATATTTTTCCTATGTTGTATGATCCCTGTGCACCAAAATTCTATCACACTTGCATTGAGTTTAGCTAAATTTAACTATATTTTTGATCAAAGAGAGAAAAATCTTTTTATTTACTTTTAGGACTTCCTCTCTAAATAGATCTTAGCTTCCACTGTCCCAAGAATGGAAATCTACAGCCCTTACACAGAGAGACACAGAATGAGTCCATGTTTTGAGTTTACAAAGTCATGGATTTTAGGACCAAAACCAAGGCCACTCTCATCAAGTTAATTCCTACTCATAGTAGCCCTATAAGGCAGAGTAGAAAAACGCCTTAGGGTTTCCAAGACTGTAAGTCTTTCTCCTTCAGGGTGGCTCATGGGTTCAAACCACTGACTTAGTGATTAACAGCCCCGTGCTTAACCCACTATGCCACTAGAGCATCTGTGAAGCTTTATCGTGATAGTTGCAGCTTCTAAACAATGACGACAGCTGGTGATCTAAAAATGGTAAAAATGCTCTCTTCAGCTTATCTTGACGTCCTGGTGTGGCGTTGCAGGTTAATGCACTGGACTGCAAGGTCTGTTTGAACCGCAGGGTTAGTGGTTGAAATGGTTCAAGCTCACCAGTCATTCCTCAGAAACCCTATAAAGGGTCGCTAGGAGTCGGAACTGACTCGACAGCACTTAACAACAACAAACTTATAATGAAAAAATTCATAACTGCATGACTTCAGAATTTCTAGTTTATTGTGAGAAATAGATTGAAAATGCTACGTGTGCTTCCACTTTTAGCATTCAAGTAAAATAGATTTCACTAAAAATAACAGTAAAATGCCCAAGAAAATAGACAATAAAAATGATGAGTCTGTTCCTCACACAGTGGAGAACCACAATCTTACGGACGTACTAGTGACTGGAAAGCAGATTTTACGTTGCCTTTCCCTCTGATACAGTTGATATTGTACAGTCTATAGTACAGTCCTAAAATTGTCTTCTATCTGAAACTGCTTGGTAAACATATGGAACCAAGAATTAATAGGCCTATTAAAATATTTTATACTTTAAAAGCAGTGTTCATTTGGAAGGTGAGATTGTTAATAAGGACTAGTAGGGTTGCTATAAAATAATCTCTCAGTCATATTCTATAGACTAGACTGGTTTTTTCAGAAGTGCCCTGGTGTGGCACTGTGGGATAAGCCCTGGACTGCTAACAACAAGATTGGCGGTTCAAACCCACCAGTGATGCCTTTCAGAAACCCTATGCAGGGTCGCTATGAATTGAAACCAAATGCACAGCACTTCACAACAACGACATAGAAACCTTCAATCTCTTATTGCTCTCACAAAACAAAAAGTAATGCCTCAGTGACCTTCAGAATTAATGTTTAGTCAGTGGTCTTGATTTTAGTTTGTTTCATTTCTGCTATGTGTAACTACATATGAAAAGTAGTAAATCAGCAGGTGTTGCAGGTGTGCATAACAACGTTTCACAAATACCATAAAATAAAAGATAAAAGGAAGACCTTACACCATGGACTAGAATTTTCTGGGAAGGCATTATGATATACATGGGAATTAAATTGCCCCTGGAAAGATTAATGGCCTTTGAATAAAATAGCAAATATTAGTAACTATTTCTCAAAATCTACTAACAAGAACTCCTATGACCAAATGTGGGATTACTAATAAAGAATTTATTTTGGTCCTTTCACTCCCACCCCACTCCCAAAATCCCATCTGAGGAAGGTCTTATGTGCTAGTGTGAGGAATTAGTACCCCCAGACATGGTTGGCAGAGGTTGCTAACATAAATATATGATACTTATGTGGTATGTTTCTATCAGGGTAGCTCATGGGTGGTAGTTGCGGGATGGAGAAAAAGGAACAGATCCGTGAATTATTTTGAGAAAAGCGTCCTCTGAATGTGATGTGGAACACGGAAGAGAAGCTGCAGCTCATTGAAGGGTCTAAGTATTTAAGATTAGAAAAGGATGGTGTGGTTAACAGAAATGCAGGATTCAGGACGAAGAGCTGATTTCTCAGGAGAGGAATAAGGAATTCCGTTTCAGAGAGTCTATTTGAGGTGACAGTTGAATGGAAATGTACAGCAGACTCTCTGAAATGTGGGACTAAAATTGAGACATCAGGGTTGCAGATAGAGATCCTCAGAACTGATGAGTCAAGCCTGGGAATGCAAGATAGCCTTGATACAGATAAAAATTGAGGACAAAGTATGAAATCTTGGCGAGTTTTCTGCATTTTGAAAAGAAGAACAAGAGCCAATAGAGAAGATAGAATGAGCTGGAAATATTAGGAGATAAAAATCTAAGACTATCAGTTGAAAAAGGAAAAAGTTCCAAGAAGACTTGGTAGTGAAAGTCGCCAGTGCAAAAACAACCAGGTGAAGAAACTATGACAGTGAAGCTGTTGGGTTAAAGCAACCAAGAGGCAAAATGACTTTGAGTGGACAATAAATGGTAACATTTCAACATAATAGTTGTTAGAGAACCTGTGTCCAAGTGGGTTAGAGTGTAAATAAAGAAATCTTAGGGCTCTGAGTATGTGAAAATTTCTGTAAACGTGGCAGTGAATGAAGGAGAAAAAATAAGCTTGAGTAAACTCTAAATGTTGACCAGAGTCAAGTCAAGGATATTTGCTTTGTTTGGATTTCTTAAAGGCAAAGGGCCCAATAAATCAAATAGAAAATATCAAGAGCAAGAGCTCAAGCATCATCGCAGTAAGAATCATAATTGGGTACAAGATAGTAATTTAAATGTTCATTAGAGTTTAATCCAACAATTATTCTTTCTTTATCAAGTGTGCATTTAGAGTTTCAAGGTGGTAAATTAGAGATCGCCAGTTCTCTTGGACCAACTTTGAAAGAATGTCAGATCCTAGTTCATTTTATTTCCAATTTTCTTAGTGCCTTTTTTTTTTGAGTTATGCAATTATACTGATCCTCTTTGTATGTAGGATTTTATCAGTTGTAAATTTTCACAGAAAATAGCCTGATTGAATCAACTTGGAGTTCACTTTGAGGAGTCCTGGGGTGGTACAGAAGACAATTAAGTACTCAACTACTGCACTAGCTGAAAAGCTGACTGTTTGAACACATCCATAGGCACCTTGGAAGACAGGCTTGGCCATTGCCTTTCAGAAAGTCACAGCCTTGAAAACCCTGTGAAGCAGCTCTACACAGCATATGTGGAGTTGTTAGGAATCGACTCCACAACAACACAGATGCCAAAGTTGAAAATGATTTATTAATAGACGTTCTTATTCTTTAGACACCTTCGGAAACTCCCTACATTCCTGAGCCTCTTAAGATGCCAAGTCTCACATAACCAATTCTTAAGAACTTGTAATTAATACATTTGATTAAATGGGTTACATTGAGTTTATAGTCAGCCGTTTTCCCTCAGATATACCAATTGTGTTTATTATATAACAGAATTTAAACATCTTTTTACCAATCTCAAATGTAATGTGTAATGTAATCTTTCATGCTAATCCATTTTGAGAGTACAGTCACTAGTAACGTGTGTATGTGTAATGTTTGTTGAGATTTTCTAGATGTAACCATTCAGAATCTTAGTGATGTGCAGAAATTACATTTTTTAATACACCCCATTCCTTTTTCCCTCCCCACCCCACCGTCCTCCAGGGTTGGTATGTTTCCAGCTGTTTTAGAGACTAGTTTGTTTCATGGTATTTCACAAAAATGGTATCCATTGCTTGAAGAGAGAAGAAATGATTAAAGTGACTACAGGGAAAAAGAGTGGTGTCTTAACACAACAAGGAAAAAGCCAACAGCCCCACTGCTGTGGACTAGGTTCCAGCTCTTAGCAGCCCTGTAGGACAGAGTACTGGTGCTGGTCCCTGTGAACCACTGAGTCAGTGCCAACTCCTAGCAACCCTGTATGGGGTTTCTCAGAAGAGACAGACACAGAAAGTGTCATCTTTCTCCCAAAGAGCATCTGGTAGATTTGAACTGCTGACCTTGCACTTTGCAGCCCTGCTCGTAATCCATTACCGGGGCTCCTTGTAGGACAGAGTAGAAAAGCTCTGTAGAGTTTCCAAGGCTGTGAATCTTTTCAGAAGCAGACTGCCATACCTTTCTCCTGCAGAGTGGTTGGTGGGTTCAAAATACCAACCTCTCAGTTATCAGTCAAGTGCTTGACCACTGCACTACCAGGATGTCTGTCTTATAAGTAAGTGGACGGAAATGAGAGTAAAAGCTCAGGTGTGAGGGTGAGACTTTTTTCAAAGAAAGAGAAAAAAAAAGTAGTCTTACTTTCCAAACAAGATGAGAGAACTTTGATATAAAAGGAAAGATTATGTTTATAGTTTTGATCAAGTCCTGTCCCCATCAACACATCCCACCATCCCACCTAGGTTCCATCATTTGCTCCGCAATTTGGTGGTCACCTAAGGCAGGAGAGAGTGTGAGCATGGACTAAGGAGGAATGCAGAACAGGATGTAAACAAGAAATACAGGAAAGACTTTTCAACATCAGTTGAATTGGAATGCAACTGGACGTGCTATCTGGAATCATGTTCTTTCATTTACACATTCATGATTTGAGTTTTTGAGAGAAGTGGGGCCCTGGCAATGGCTTGACTTGCTTGGGCTGGGAGAGGGGAGAGTATATAGTTACCGAAAGTTCGTATCCTCATAGCTGTTTGGAAGTGATTTGATTGTCCATTTCTGTATAGAAACAATATTCTAAATGTTATTTGCATTTCTTAGACAATCTACATATAAGAACAGTTTTGTTGAAACCTGAATTTCTTTTTGTACATTTTCCTATTACACCTAATGCCTCATGCCCTATTAAAGTAAGTACTTACAGAATAGTATAAAATGGTAGCTTACTCTCTCAGGTAGTTT